GGGGGGGGGGGTCAAAAGCGTCATGCTATTTCGTAAGATTCCCCAGGAAAACTCCATGAGCATCAAAGATCCATGGCCTTGCAAAATCAATGTATGAAACCGCCTCCCCACCTTTTTCTAAACAAGCTTTTGAAGCCAAATACTGAAAATGTATGAGGAACACTCCCCACCTCTTTAGGTAATCTCTTAATTTTACAAAAACTAGTTCATAGAAAAATACCCGTTTCAGAGGTGGGGGGGGCCCTGGAAATGTATGAGAATTCCCGGCTCCCCCCCCCCTCAATATACATTTTAAGGGGTGGGGGATGATATATACTCAAGAAATAGTAAGAACCCCACCTGCACACACACACACACACACCACCCACCAAACCTCTTTACCCCCCTGTCAGCAGTTCCTCGGTGAGTTCAACGAGAGTTTGGGCCTGGGGCCTTTCAGAATTAATCAAACAAATATAAAATAAACCCTCCCATTTACACACCTTTTGTTTTATTATTCACCTATTATTTGCTATTATATAATCATGTATGCATATGTACACATATATATATATTACCTACCGCTTCATTTGCATTATAAGGATCCTTATGATGCAGTCTTTCCGAAAACCTTTGCGTTGCATCTGCAGTTGTAGATTTGTGAGATTACTTATGTATTGTATATATGTTTTGAGAAGTTTGGGTTTCACATGTAAGTGGGTTTCACCCGCAAGTTGATGTGGGAAAATACGATGGTCAAGCACGTCCGGCCATCGTATTTTCCGACATCGTTGTTGACACCAACAATCCCACGAACTAACCGTTAATTAGCTGACACTATCGAAACTACATTGCGTAGGGTCTCTCAAGCAAATGTTGTAAATACAAATTTATATAGACATAGATCTCAGGTAAACTCTCTCAAGTAAAGTAACCATATGCAACTGTTTTCGCAAAAAAACAAACTGAAGTAAAAAAACAGTTTCACAAGTACATATGTGTGTGCACTAGTTGCCTCAAAAACAGATTGTGTCACTAATTATCCTCAGTATCGTTAGGATACTTACCAAAATTCTGGGGATCAGCATTCCGGGAAACCTTTTGGAAGGCTAATTGTCCACACTATCTTAATTATTGGTAACATCCCAGGCTCCAGACCTTTTGGTTCCCAACTATTCTAGTTCTCCTAATCAATGAAGATAGTTAGGAACATTAGCAATCCAGATACCCTTTTGGAAAGCTAATTCTCCTTATTGAGTTGAAATTATTGCTAAAGCCCACGGGCTCCACACCTCTTGGTTTGATAATTGATAATTATCTGAATTATCTTATTAATTTATTAGTTAGGATAATCAGGATAATTAGCCTTCCGAAGAGCCTTCGAAAGGCTACTTATCCGAATTATTCTAATTAATTAAGAAAATTAAGATAACTAGCAGTCCGAAGAGCCTTTGGAAGGCTAATTATCCTAACTATCCTGAATATAGGTAAAGCCTCCAGGCTCTGAAACTTCAGGTTTGCTAATTACCCCAGCTATGGCAATTTTCCCCATTGTCTTGGAAAGCTTTTGGAAGGCAAATTGTCCTAATTATCCTGATTATTGGCAGAGCCCCGAGGCTACAGACCTCTTGGTTTGCTAATTATCCTAATTATTCTAATTATCCTTTTTTATTAATTTCTTTTTTTAGATATAATTAGGATAATTAGCCTTCTGGAGAGCCTTTGGCAAGCTAATTATCCCGTTTATCCTAATTAATTAGAATCATATTGAAGATTAGCCTTCTGGAGAGCCTTTGGGAAGCTAATTATCTTAATTATTTTGATTATTGCTAAAGTCTTGAGGTTTCAGACCCTTCAGTTTGCTAATTATCCTTATTATCCAAATTATCCTAATTAATTAGGATAATTAAGATAATTAGCCTCCCAGAGAGGCTTTGAAATGCTAATTATCCTAAGTATCCTAATTTTTGCTAAAGCCTCCAGGGTCCAGACCTTTGATTTTGTTAATTATCCTAATTATCCTTATTATCCTAATTAATTAGGATAATTAGGATAATTAGCCTCCCAGAGAGCCTTTGGAAGCCTAATTATCCTAATTATCCTAATTATTGCTAAAGCCTCCAGGGTCCAGACCTTTGATTTTGTTAATTATCCTAATTATCCTACTTATCCTAATTATCCTAATTATCCTATTTATCCTAATTATCCTAATTATCCTAATTATCCTAATTATCCTAATTAATTAGGATAATTAAGATAATTAGCCTCCCGGAGAGCCTTTGGAAGCCTAATTATCCTAATTATCCTAATTAATTAAGATAATTAGGATAATTAGCCTCCCAAAGAGCCTTTGGAAGGCTAATTATCCTAATTATCCTAATTATTGCTAAAGCCTCCAGGGTCCAGACCTTTGATTTTGTTAATTATCCTAATTATCCTAATTAGGATATCCTAATTAGGATAATTAAGATAATTAGCCTCCCGGAGAGCCTTTGGAAGCCTAATTATCCTAATTATCCTAATTAATTAGGATAATTAAGATAATTAGCCTCCCAGAGAGCCTTTGGAAGGCTAATTATCCTAATTATCCTAATTATTGCTAAAGCCTCCAGGGTCCAGACCTTTGATTTTGGTAATTATCCTAATTATCCTAATTATCCTAATTATCCTAATTAATTAGGATAATTAAGATAATTAGCCTCCCGGAGAGCCTTTGGCAGCCTAATTATCCTAATTATCCTAATTATTGCTAAAGCCTCCAGGGTCCAGACCTTTGATTTTGTTAATTATCCTAATTATCCTATTTATCCTAATTAATTAGGATAATTAAGATAATTAGCCTCCCGGAGAGCCTTTGGAAGCCTAATTATCCTAATTATCCTAATTATTGCTAAAGCCTCCAGGGTCCAGACCTTTGATTTTGCTAATTATCCTAATTATCCTAATTAATTAGGATAATTAGGATAATTAGGCTGCCAAAGGCTCCCTGGGATGCTAATTATCCTAATTATCCTAATTATTGCTAAAGCCTGCAGGGTCCAGACCTTTGATTTTGTTAATTATCCTAATTATCCTAATTATCCTAATTAATTAGGATAATTAAGATAATTAGCCTCCCGGAGAGCCTTTGGAAGCCTAATTATCCTAATTATCCTAATTAATTAGGATAATTAAGATAATTAGCCTCCCGGAGAGCCTTTGGAAGCCTAATTATCCTAATTATCCTAATTAATTAGGATAATTAGGATAATTAGCCTCCCAGGGAGCCTTTGGCAGCCTAATTATCCTAATTATTCTAATTAATTAGGATAATTAGGATAATTAGCCTCCCAGGTAGCCTTTGGCAGCCTAATTATCCTAATTATCCTAATTATTGCTAAAGCCTCCAGGGTCCAGACCTTTGATTTTGCTAATTATCCTAATTATCCTAATTAATTAGGATAATTAGGATAATTAGGCTGCCAAAGGCTCCCTGGGAGGCTAATTATCCTAATTATCCTAATTAATTAGGATAATTAGGATAATTAGGCTTCCAAAGGCTCTCCGGGATGCTAATTATCCTAATTATCCTAATTAATTAGGATAATTAGGATAATTAGGATAATTAGGATAATTAACAAAATCAAAGGTCTGGACCCTGGAGGCTTTAGCAATAATTAGGATAATTAGGATAATTAGCCTTCCAAAGCCTCTCTGGGAGGCTAATTATCCTAATTATCCTAATTAATTAGGATAATTAGGATAATTGGGCTTCCAAAGGCTCTCCGGGAGGCTAATTATCTTAATTATCCTAATTAATTAGGATAATTAGGATAATTAACAAAATCAAAGGTCTGGACCCTGGAGGCTTTAGCAATAATTAGGATAATTAGGATAATTAGCCTTCCAAAGGCTCTCTGGGAGGCTAATTATCCTAATTAATTAGGATAATTAGGATAATTAGCCTTCCAAAGGCTCTCCAGGAGGCTAATTATCTTAATTATCCTAATTAATTAGGATAATTAGGATAATTAGGATAATTAACAAAATCAAAGGTCTGGACCCTGGAGGCTTTAGCAATAATTAGGATAATTACGATAATTAGCCTTCCAAAGGCTCTCTGGGAGGCTAATTATCCTAATTATCCCAATTAATTAGGATAATTAGGATAATTAGGCTGCCAAAGGCTCTCTGGGAGGCTAATTATCCTAATTATCCTAATTAATTAGGATAATTAGGATAATTAGGCTTCCAAAGGCTCTCCGGGAGGCTAATTATCTTAATTATCCTAATTAATTAGGATAATTAGGATAATTAGGCTTCCAAAGGCTCTCCGGGAGGCTAATTATCTTAATTATCCTAATTAATTAGGATAATTAGGATAATTAGGATAATTAGCAAAATCAAAGGTCTGGACCCAGGAGGCTTTAGCAATAATTAGGATAATTAGGATAATTAGGCTTCCAAAGGCTCTCCGGGAGGCTAATTATCCTAATTATCCTAACTAATTAGGATAATTAGGATAATTAGCCTTTCAAAGGCTCTAATTACCTTGAATCTGGGGTTTGCCCAAATGAACCCTGTTTTTCCATCATACGGGAATACCCCCCCAAAATGATATAAAATTGTACCCTCCGAATTAAACAGCCTAGGCTAGGGGTTGATTAATCCAGGGTTGACATGAGTAATGTTGGATACCCTCTGGTAAACTAACATAACTATGGAAAATCACCATTTTCATTGGGTAAATCCACTATAAATGGTCATTTTCAATAGCTATGTTAAATTACCAGAGGGTAACAATGTTGCATATCCCACCGGATATCAACGGTGACCTGACCGGCCCCGGCTTGACACTGTCAGCTGCCCGGATTTTTTTTGCGAAACGCGCAGGGCGAAATGAAACGAAATGTGCCGTTTCATGCCATGGGAATTCGACAGATTTCCTGTTTGAATGATTTTAGACCATTCGCAGCTTTGGAGGCACTTACTCTAGAGTTGATCTTATATATGCGTTATCCTTCCATATGATTATATAATTTCCTAGGCATTCGGCCACCAGTTGTGATTCAAAGTGTGTCAGGGACGTCACAGGAAGCCCGGCGAAATCTTGGCTGCATCCTCCGTGGCTTCTGCCGCTCGGGAATACTCCTCGTAGAGATCCGCCGTCTGTCGCCGCCGGCGCCGCAAGACGTTCCTAGGGACCGGGAAGGGAACGTCTAAGGAACGTTCTAAAGAACGGCTGCCGTTGTTGAAACACAAAGGGGATAACAATGGGTATGCAAACATATTATCATAACTGTCATATATGTAACCAACAGACGTTGGATTTTACCTGTGAAAAGCATGTGAAGAGCAATGGAGCTGCATTTTGGCCACATGATTTCAGTCACTCCTGCTGTCACCCGGGTTTTTTGCAAAGCAGAAATTGGTAAAATGGGATTACATCATGGGTTATGACATGGTAAAATGCCAAGAATAAGGACATGGTTTGCTGCTTTGCCCAATACAACTGGTACAACTGGTAATATCCCACTCAATGTTCGCCGTGGCCAAAACACGACCAGAGGGCCATAGGGATCTCAACAGTGGGCAATGTATATAAAGCTTATTCACAGGACTTGATTCCCATGGATACTTAAAAGATCTTGAACGACGATATCAACCATCCCACTTTGCTGAGAACGTTCCGAAGCTTCCGTTCTGCTTCCGTTCTGGTTCCCTTCAGGTTACGCCCAAGCGTCATGATGATCCAAAGCTCCAAAGGACCCCAGATTGGAAAACTCACTTTGCATAGGATCGTCCCTTCCTGGCATATGTGCTCCATGTGCATGTGCAAAAAAAAAAGTGCATCTGCATCACTGAATTCCATGCAAGATTTTGGGTGATTGGATGTGATTGGTGATATCGATGATATATATATATATATAAAGGGGTCACCCAAGGATGGGCACACATAGACGCACGTGATGACGCACACTTGTTGATAGAACAGCTCCACCCGAGGAAGCTGAAAGATCTCCAAAGAGACCTGTTCTTGTCGATGATCCCATACTAAGACTCTCAGCCAAAGGTGTGAAACACCCAAGCAACAATTGCACCAGAAATCCTTCAACATATTTAGCTCTATGATACAACAAGGAATGGAAGAAATCTGTATATGACGGACCATTGGAGGCCCCTTTGGGGCTACTGCACTCATCTTGGGAGATGGAAAAATTCCAGTGGTTGGTGCTTTGCCACAGCCCTTGATAAACCCAAACCTGGAATCCCAAGCCGCGCCTTGGTACAAAAAAATCACCATTTGCCGAATTCGCCAACAAAAATCATCAAACCAAAGGGCCATGGAAACCCCATAAATCTCCCAGCAGTTGCCACAGTCGGTCATTCACCCAGCTGTCATTCACCGCCACGGCACTTTTTTCAAAATCCCCCACAGACTTCGATGATTTTCCCAGCAAAGCACAGTGGCACAGTGCGGGGATTTCCCAGCTAGCCATGTTTACCCTCTGGTAAACTAACATAACTGTGGAAAATCACCATTTTTAATTGGAAAACTCACTATAAATGGCCATTTTCAATAGCTATGTTAGTTTACCAGAGGGTAGCCATGTTTGATGACGAGGGTATCCTTCATCCGCCACGTCAGACAGATAACTTTTTGCCAGAAAACTCCATTAAAAAAAAAACGAAAAAGACCACCATTCAACCCGCACTACGAAGTATCACTTCCAGTATATCCACGAATATTCCACCAACATCCCATGAATATCTCATGAAAATTCACCATGAAAAATCACCATGTCATGTTTTTGCTGGTAGCTATACCGAGTTTCCGCCACACCGAGCACCAACCTGACGGCTGTCAACCCCCGGGGCCCCGGAGAATCAAAAATGCCTGGGAAATCCCTGGGTTTTCCATTAAAATCTCCATTGAGTTGATTCCGTGGCTGATGACACCAGAGGGGATAACTATGTATAACTGTATAACTTCCAGGCTAAAGTCCCCACAGAATCAGTCAGAAACCTGGAAACTATGGGAGCAAAACATCGTTTCGAACTACCTGGCTTCCATGCTTCCTACCTGGTTTCACACTAACCTCGGCGCCTTTTTAAGGAGGTTGCCAAAAACATTTGGCAATCCCCAAAAAGATGTCGAAAAGTGAAATCCTGCTCAAATAGTGGGAAATTCAGAGTTCAATCTGGTTTCCATTGGTTTCCGTAGATGGAGATTTAATTGAAAATCATCGAACTCGAGGAAATTCCCAGCCATGTTTACCCAAGGACCCTGGCTGAGTCCCGAAGGTTCAAGATGATCTGGGGATGTGGGGATTATCAATTCTTACTGGCTAAATCAGCATAACAAAAACGTTGTGTCTGGTGATGTCAAGATGTTTTCCAACAAAAAAACACAGATTTTTCACATGATTCAACAGCCTACAACAGCCTAGATCACTGCGAGATCACCACTGGCTGGGTCTTGCTGGATAGATCGAATCAATCCCAATGGATTGCCCAGTTGGTCGATGGTTTACCGGTTTACCTCGTATAAGTCGGTGGTGCTAACTGTCAGGTTGCAAAGTGTCAGAAATCACAGAGGCTAACTCCAAATATCACATGAAGTCGGTTACAGTTGCATAGCTATATATTCCATTATATAGATATATTCCCATTAAAACGATATGTGCTAGGGTCAAAACATTGTACATTGTATGTGGTTTATGGTCATCCATCCCACCCATCCCACGATCGGAATCCTTCTAATAATAGGTATGTAATCCCCACTGAATCAATTAACCATCCCCCAACATGGGATGGAAAACCCATGTTTTGACCCTGACGCACATTATAGTGTTCGCAAAGCAACGGGATCCACCATCCCCAAATTTACGCTTTTCATGGGTGCAAACCATGAGAATAGTGACCTTTATCCAGTTATATTCCATTACATTTACATCACCATAATGTTCCCAGTTTAGTGCTAGCTGCTAGTTATCATGGCGAATCTTAGACGCCAAACAAAATCGTGTTTGGCTAATTAGAACATGTTTCCATTGATAGCAAAGATTAAATGTTACACTAAAGTAGCTCACCGGGACGCAGTGATTTCATGTGATTTCCCCATTGAAAAAAAAACATATGTGTTTGGCTGGTTGGTGGTTGACCTACCCCTCTGAAAAATATGAGTTCGTCCCATATATGTAACCACCAACCATATATGAAATGGAAAAGAAAAAATATTTGAAACCACCAACCAGTTGTGTGTTTGGTGTATTTTCATGTATTTTCCGTCGAACTTCACCCAGTTCAAGGAACTGGCCCGGTTTCATGCCCGTCTTGGAGGCCAAAACCTGCCAGATGCGATTCTTGTCCTGGGATTGGCGTTTTAGAGGCGGAACAGATGGGGAGTGCCAGAAACAGATGGATTGAACATGATAGAACCATGAAATCGGATTGATTCGCTGAAAATCTGGAGGGAACCATTGCTTTTTGACACTAATGGAGTGGGTCCTTCAATTCAAATCCTGGATTTCTTGCGAACAAATGGGCCAGTAACTGCCAGTGACGTGGCCATTGCCATCTGGGTGACAGATGTTTCTTTCCACATTGATAGTCACCACTTCCGTCGACCTAGGATCATTTACCTTCTCCAAAAAGAATCT